CTGCGGGGCGCACGAGCTGCTCCCCCCAGCAGACCAGGGAAATCCGGACGGCAGGACCGCGGAGATGCGCCGTGGTCCCGCCCGCATCCTCCCCAGCTTTGCTCCGTGTCTCCCTGGTCTGCTGGGGGGTCTCCAGGAAGACGAGGAGCAAAGCCCTGCAGCCCCAGCCCCTCCGCGGCTTTGCAAAGCCTCGGGGGAAGCCGGCGGCGGGACAGCCCAGGCACGCCTGGGCTGCCCTGCTGCCCGAGCCCCTCTGCGGCTTTGCTCCGTGTCTTCCTGGTCTGCAGACCAGGGAGACGGGGAGCAGCTTTTCTCGCCCCGGAGTACACGGGCGGCGGGACCACGAGGTCCCGCAGTCCGTGTCCTCCGGGGCGAGAAAAGCCCCGTTCGTATCTGCGGATCCGACATAAGTCGGATCCGCGTAAGTCGGGGACTGCCTGTATAGGAAAGTGCCCCTCCCCCAAAGCTACACCAGTACTGCTCTTGTCTCTGTGTGCAAGCTAGCACAGTGATATGCGGGTCTGGACTTTCTGAAAATGGTCCTCATTAAACAATTTTTTTCCTTTCGTGGGTGTGGAGAGGACTCTGCAGTTCCATGATGTCTCTAACTCTTATACCACCATATAGATTCCTAACACCCATGAATCTCTCCTCTGCACTCTCAGTGTATGTCTACACTACAGGACAAAGTTGAATTAAATAGGCAACTTCAGATACGTTAATTATGTAGCTGAAGTCAAAGCAGGTTAACTTGGCTTTTGGCGCTGTCTACACTGCAGGAAGTCGAAAGAAGAACACTTTTAATTGGGCTTCCTTTACTCCTCGTGAAAGCAGGGTTACCAGCATCGACCGGAGTGCCCCTCTCAGTTCGAATTAGCTGTGTTAACTAGACCGCTAATTCAAACCCTGAAAGATCAACAGCAGCAGCTTTGATCTTCCTCTGTAGTGTAGATACACCTTCAAAATCCCACACCATCGCTCAGTGGTCCCCAACCTTTTGGGGCTGCCGGGCGCCCAGGGCGGGGCCACGCATGCGCCGCGCACCGGGGGCAGAGGCCGTGCATGCACCAGGCTTCTGCCACGCATGTGCCGCGCACCCGGGGCAGGGGCCGTGCATGCACCGGGTTTCTGGGGTCTGGGGCGCAAGAATGGCTCGGGCCAGCCCTGGTCACTAGGTAGGTGCACATAAATGCCCTGGTGGGCACCATGGTGCCCGCAGGCACCACGTTGGGGACCACTGCCATAGTTTGTGTACCTGCCAGGCCTGCCCGGGGAGAGGGGGCGGGGGCAGAGGAGGGAGTCTAGAAAGTGGGCAAAGACAGGACTTTGGTCTTTCTATGGAGACCACCAAAGCTCTTCCTCAGTGCTTCAGTGGGAAATAACTAAAGGCAACTGGATTTTTAGTATCATATTTTCACTTTTAAAATGCCATGAGGGGTGTCCTGGATTGGGAGAAATTAGTATTTCACAGCAAAAGTAATAATTTTTATTATTTGTACAGTGACAGCACTTAGGAATGCCAGTCATGGAACAGGACCCCAATTGTGCTAGTTGCTGTCTAAACACAGAACAAAGAAAAAAGGCAACTCCCCGAGGATCTTACGATCGAAGTATCGGCAAGAGATAGCAGGTGGATACAGACAGACCAGACCAGGGGAATAGAAAGACTTAATATTCATTATCATATCAGCTGCCTAACTATTCTCAAGTTTTATGTAAACTTCATGGCAAAGAAGAATGAGAAGAAGAGATTTGAAGGGGGAGAATGAGAAAGGTTCACAGATCTTTACGAGGAGTGTGTCCCAAGTGTTTGGGGCAGCAAGATTTTTTTTTAAATTAATATGTGGGGATAGGCCATGAAAATAAAGACAAGAAGCTTATCTTTGATGGAGAAAGGAGAGGCAATGGAGGGGTGCAAAGAGAGGGGTGACATGGTCAAAGCAGTGGGGTAGCAAAATGGTCTGTGTTGTAGCATTCTGGAAGGATATGGGCAAAGCAAGATGGACTTACTCAGAAGAAGAGGACTGCTATAACTGAGACTGCAGGTGATGAGATCTTTGCTGAGAGTTTTAGGTGTGGAGGTGGATAGGAAAGGACATATCTTAAAGAGGTTCTGCAGAAAGAATCAGCAAGATTTTGACACAGACTGGGTATGAGAGGTCTGAGTCAAAGATGACAGCCTGGCAGCGGAGTTGACAGCCCTGAGCAAGGGGAGGAGGCGGCCGGCTCCGCACTACCAGAAGGGGTGGGGCCAAGGGCAGCTGGGCCTTAGTGCTGCCCAGAGTGCGTCATCTCCGTCCCAGCCCTCAGCGAGGGGAGTGGAAGGGGTGGGGCCAAGGGCAGCCGGGCCTCAGTGCTGCCCAGAGTGCGTCATCTCCATCCCAGCCCTCAGCGCTGCCCAGAGCATGCAGCACGGTGCTCCAGCAGCAATTTAAATGGCCCGGAGCTCTGGCTGCTGCTGTCGCTACTTTGCTAGTGGCAGCAGCTGGAGCCCTGGGCCCCTTTAAACTGCTGGTCCATGGGGTGCCTCTCCCTGATCAGCGGGCGAGCGAGCAGGTTCTGAGCTTGAGTGACAGGGAGCATAGTGGTGGTGTCTACAGCGACAGACGGGGGAGAGGGCTTGGGAAAACAAGAGGGGCTCTGTTTTTGCTACGCTGAGCATGAACTGATGGCAGGACATCCACAAGGAGATCTCCGAGAGAGAGGCTAAGATTTTGGCTTGGACAGAAAGAGACAGATGCAGGGTAGATTGGCAGTGGTGTGGTAGTAATTGATTTTAATAACAGTATCTTTTTTGGATATATGATTTGGTTTGGTTTGGTTTTTGAATGAGATGACCCTTGCTGTAATCTTTGCCAGACATTTCCATTTGGTTCCAAGAATCCTACTTAGTAGCAATTTCAGAATAATAGTTTGCGCTGCTTTTTAAAGTAACTTCTGATTTCCATCTCTCTGCTTCAGATTTTCATCACGGTGAATTGCTTGAGTACGGATTTCTCCTCACAAAAAGGAGTAAAGGGACTTCCTCTGATGATTCAGATCGACACATACAGCTACAATAATCGCAGCAATAAACCCATTCACCGGGCCTACTGCCAGATCAAAGTCTTCTGTGACAAAGTGAGTGAAGATAATATTGCGAAAGATGGAGGGAGCCCATATCCAAAGTGTCTCTTTTCTCTTTTAGATGCTTGTTATCACTAATGTTTGAAGTGGTTTCCATCCTCTCCGCATATGAGTTGTGGCCTGGGATTTTTTATTTTTCATGGTGTATGGAGCCTCCATTCACAGTGACTCTTCACTGTGCCCTATATACAGGGGTGCAGGTCCCTTGTAAAATCAATGATAACCTTTAAGCTGGAAAGGAATGTGAATCCTAGGACACAGAGGACCATAACGTGGACAACATCAGCACAGAAACACTCCCTTAAAAGTAACAGTGTAACAGAGGGAGGGAAACTTTATTGGGAACTGGGACATTGGGAAAAGACGGGATTAGGTGTAATCAATAAACATTTATAAATAAGCCAATTTTCCACCACCTTATAGTCACAAACTCCTCCAGCCAGGTCTCTGGACCTTAGCAAGATTAGCCAAGACTGCATGTGCTCAAATGGAGAGTTGCAGCGCAGTGGCATTGACCAGCTTAAACTGGTCACCTTACTCTTACCTCACACCTGACTGAGGCAGGGTCCTCTCCTGATTCCAGGCAGGCTCACTGGTTTCCTAATCTGAAGTTCTTCTAGGGTCTTTGCTGGCTGTCAGTAGCTGTCACCAGCTGGAATCTGTCTGTCTTTAGATGTGCTGCTGCTGCCTGATCAAGGCAGCTAAAGTCTCAGAGCGTGCAGATGCCCCTCCAGGAAAGGGAGAATTCAGCAGGCGCTCCCAGAGCTGCACTGTCTCCCAGCTCCAAAACTCAACACAACTGTCCCCTGCCCCCCCACACACACTTTTCTTCAACAGCCTGTCCCTTACCCAGTTGCTTCTTGGGGACTGAACAACCCTGGCTTGTCACTGGTTCACTGGACTTCTTGCCCACATTACCTCATGCAGAAGCTTCCCTAACTGGCCCCAGCCAGGGTTTTCACTTTCATTTGCCTCCACCCCTAACTCTAGGCATGCTGGGAATAAGGTCAGGGATTCTGGTAGCCATCTTAGTAGTAGTTCTGTTAGTAGGGCTCCTTTAGGTATGTCTGCACTGCAGTTCGGGCTAGTAGGACTTGGGCTAAGGGTTGTAGAAGTTCAGTCTTGGGCTGGAGTCCTGCCAGGAGGGATGGTCCCAGGGTTCAGGCTACAGCCTGAGCCCCAATGTCGGCTCAGCAATTTAATAGCCCTGCAGCATGGGTCACTTGCTGGTATAGAATAAATGGTGGACTTGCTGTAACTTGAAGTATATAAACCAAGATTTGAGGATTCAGTAACTCAGCCAGAGGTTAGGGCTGTATCACAGAAGTGGGTGGGTGAGGTTCGGTGGCCTGCAATGTGCATGAGGTCAGACCAGATGATCACAAAGGGCCCTTCTGCCCTTACAGTCTGTGAGTCTATCCACAGAGGAGCATCTTCCACAGGAGGGGCGGAGGGAGCCCCACATAAGGTGAGCACTCCGCCTGCTCCAGCCAGATTCCGAAAGGGCCCTGTTCTGGTAAGCATGCTCAGAGGCGAGGCCATGCACAGGAGTTTGAATGTTACCTCTTTGGGAGGGGCACATTCAGTGCCCCCACTAAGGGCTGGGGTTGGAGGCGCTGTCAGCTTCCACCAGGGTCCCTTGGCTGAGGAACTTGCTTTCTCCACCCACTGCCAGGGCTGGAAGAAGCTCGCTCTCTTCTCCTTCCCTTTCCCCCTACCAGGGCTGGAAGGAGCTCATTCTGCTCCCTCCAGTGCAACCCAAGCGCCAGAAAGAACTCCTTTCCCCTTCCCCACTCCACCGTGCTCCTGCTTGTCCCCCTGCCCTTGTGTATACCCCTGCTCAGAGACTGCCAACTGGACCAGGCACTGCATGTGACTTGGTGGTGGGGCGGGGGGTGAACACCTGTCTTCCCCTCATTCATGAATTGCTCTGAGGCTGAGACGAGATGGGCACTTGGACACTCTGAGGGAGGCAGCAGTGCACATGCAGAGATGCAGAAACGTAGGCTGAGGGAACTTTTACCTTGAACACTTAGATGCCAAGTGAGTTTAGATGCTTACAAGGTTCAACAGAGTTTTGTGATTTTATAGTGGAGCCTCAAACTGGGACTTAGGCACCCAAACAAGCTGGAGACATGAGAACTTAAATCCAAAAGTTGAGTGTTTTGGTACTTTTGTAGATCCTGCCCTAAGTGACTTAGGCACCTAAGCACCATTGAAGGGCAATGGGTCGCAAGCAATTAAATTGTTTAGGTGCTTTTGAAAATGTTACTCATAATTATGATTCCCATTTTACAGATGGGGCAGAAAGATTAGAAGCCAGCCCAGGCCATAAGAAGTCAGCTTTTACAGTGAGAGACAGATCTCAAGTGCTCCAGGCTTCTAGGCCTCTCCTCAGACCACTATCCCACTCCCCGTCCTCTTAAATCCACCTCCTTCTCCCCCTTTTCCTCTAACGTTCTCTGTTGGCAACAAAATCTTTGAAGATTAATCAGGCAGTTTTATGAGCAGAGAAAAAATGTTGAAAGTAATGAATGTAAATGTATGTGCTGAATTAATCGTAAGGACGAAGCGCTTATTTTTATTTGTAGCTTTGAATGTCAAATATTTACAGAGATTTGAAGCTACAGTTGGCTGTTAAAAGCTAATTAAATATCAAAGGAGTATTTTTATCTACCTGTTTTTGAAAAGCAATTAGAAAAATCTGGACTATTAAAATTTTTTTTAAAGGAAAGGCATTTAGAGCACAACCTCCTCAAGGTTGACTGCAGATTTGAATGATAAATATTTGTTACTTTGACTATCTATCCACCTAACTGATACTTCACATCTCCAGGCTAGGAAGCAGGAAACGAATCCGAAGATGTTTAATCAAAACCATCTTAAACTAGGAGTAAACATCACAAGGGTAGTTAATGTGTTACACACATCCCAACTATGTTAAAGGTGTGGGCTGGAGCGCTCAGGGGATTGGGAATAGGGTATAAAGCCTTTTAACTGTTGGTTGTCCTAAAGACTGGTGATGACTGAGATCCATCCCTCTCTTGAATTGTATTTAGTGGCCTATGTGAAATGGTTTGGTGAGGTCTCCCTCCAGTTTTTATATGTGCAACCGTTCACTTCACTAAACCTAACATAAAAATGGTACTAACTTGAATAGAGACTGGAGTTAGAGTCTCTGCTTCGTTACGTGGATGTAAATCAGAATTAACTCCACTACAGTCAGTTTTAGTTACACTGATGTAAAATGCTTGTAAGTGAAAGGAGAATCATGTTCCAACGGCGTTCTCTCTCCTATGCATATATGTGCAGTGCCTATTTTCACCTGGTTACCTCCTTCAGCATCAATCTGCTTATGAGATTTGATAAAAAGGCCTGGGTTCTTTTGGCTCCCACCTACCATTTAGCAGGAGGTAATTTCTGAATTTTCTTTCCATATGAATTTATTTGGCCTCCACTGTCCTTGCTCCTTTCTGGCAGGCCACCAGCTCGGTTTGAGAGGAAAATTCTAACCCCAGGGTAATTTCCTCTTACTCGCCAGGTAGTTGGAGATGCCTAAGAAATACAAACACAATATATCTATGTCTATCTATATATCTTTTCAGCAGAGTAATACAGAAGTAAATATAATGTAACAGGGTAAAAGACTTCTAGGGTCACTAATACCCACCCTGGTAATATCCAGGAATTTCCTCAGTCCTCTGACCTGATAAAGCAAAAGTAAAATTTAGCATCCCATTGATACATGTATGTCATAGGAGCTCAGATGACCTGTGACAATTATATCTTCTGTAGCCACAAAGCAACTTGGCTGACTGGGTTCAGTACAGCCCACAAAATTTACATAGGGAATAAGGTGGTAAGTCCCTCCACAAGTTTAATAGGTAGCAGGAAATACAATCTCCCCAAACTCTGCTCCTTAGCTGGAGGACCTGATTCAGGGAGTAGGGGTTCCCCCAAGCAATTTCCCAGATGAGCTAACTAAAAAATGTGCTCACAACTCTGTGGATGATCCTCAGGTTCAGAGATGGCTCTGGACTCCTCAGCAACTGCAGAAGGGGTGATAATCACAGCTGCCAGAAGTCCTCTTTCTGCAGGAATGAGGTTAATTTTGTTCCTAAGATTTCCCCTCCGCACAAAGGTGCAAATTATAATAGCTAGGGTTGCCAGATGGTTGAAACAAAAATACCGACTCCCCCTCCTCCCCCCCAAAAAAAACCACTGGGAAAAAATTTTGTTGAAGGGGAAAAAAAAGGGGAGGGGGGGAAACCTAAGTTGTTGAGCAAAAAAAAGAGACTCCAAGCACTTATTAAAAAATTAAAATAAAACAGCATTAAAACAGCATGTCCCCTTTAAGAGTGAGTACAGGGATAGGAACAGGGGGAGAGGTTGAGCACTAAGACACAGAAGAAACATTGCTTCCCCTAGGTCTTTTGTCCTGCACCCATTTTATGCCAGCAGCCTTGGGGAACCAGGTAAGCATGGGGAATGGGGTCAGGGGGCTGGGAGGCTGGGCGCTGAGAGTTTGTAGAGTTAAGGGGTGGAGGCGGGGGAGGGGGGAGGGGAGGCCGGGCGCTGAGTGTTTGTAGGGTTGCCAGGTGCCTGGCATTTTTGCCTCCTGGCTGGGGAAAAATTCAGAAAATACCAGACATCTCAGGTGTCCGGTAGTCTCTGAATTTTTTTACTGGACTGTCCGGGTGAATACCGGACACCTGGCAACTCTAATAATAGCTCGAATGCTAATCTCCTGCCCTAGCACTCCAATACACTCACAGCAGGCAAGCAGGCTGGCATTAGCAGCAAGAGCAGCACATGCCACGTGGTAACTGCATTTACCTAGGAGCTGGAGTTGCATCACCCCCACACCACTCTAGACCCCTCATAGCCCCCCCTTCCGATAGTCCATCATATCTGATAATCCGGTACCCCCTGGGTCCTAAAGGTGCCGGATTATCGGACGTTTACTGTACTCAGTGTGGATTGCAGTAGCAGCA